CTGAGGGGAAGGGGATGGAAACACAGTCCAGAGGAGACAGGGCCCCAAGACCTGGTGATTTCCTGCCTGAAAGGCTCCGAGGAACAGAACACAGGCACAGAGGGGACTGCGCAGCACCTTGAACTAAGCGCATATGCGAAGAAGCCCTGATCCATTCCTCTCTGCTCATGCCCAGCCTGCTTCGAAGGCTTTTGCTGTAAGAACCAAAAGCAAACATTTTAGAAGCCATCAAGTACTATCTAGAAAAGGCGAGGATTCCTTTGAACTAGTACATTCTAAGTCACAATCACAACAACTAGGAGTCGCTTTCACTGGTGTCAAATAAACTAAGTCCCTTTTCATTCCAGCAGCTACTTCGTGACCAGAGTGTTTATTGAGTGCCTACCTAACCACCAAAGGGGACTGCACGGCATATGGAGAGGGCTGGACTGGGCCCTTGCCTGGGACAGCTCAGGGCCCTGCTGCAGCTGGTGGAACCTCAGGCCACCACATGTCACTCCCTCACAAAGCTGCTGCGGTGTCTCTACCGCACCCAGCTGCAGTGGGGTCCCTGTGCTGCATGAAGCAGCCCTCAGACCAAGCTCCCTTCCTCCGGGGAATGAGAGGTTCCTGGAGAGGACATTCGCCAGGGAGAGGGGAGAGGGGCGGAGGGCAGAGGTTCCTGGGAAACCGTGCTACCAGCTTGGAGCTGCTGACTGATGGGGGACCTCCTCCAGGCAAAGCCTCCTGCAAATGCATTCATGGGTGTGGATACAGGGACAGCCCATCTTCTGTGAATGTCCCTAGGTAAACAATCTCCCTCCATAAGCCTCGGTTTCCTTGTCTGCAGAATGTGACCATGGCGCCTGCTTACAGGGGTGCTGTAGGGAAGAAACAGCCACATGACTCTAAGCACACTTCCATTCTGAGTGGGTCACAGAGATGTGACCATGGGCACTACACCTGGTCCCTGGCCCCTTCCACTCTGGCATTGTTCTTCTGCTGTACTTCCTGGCTGCCATGAACAGAGAAGCTCCACTCCACTACAGCCTTCCACCATGACATTTCTACATTGGACTGGATAACCATGAACTGAATCCCCTGAAATCGTGAGCCAAGTTACACCTCTCCTCCTTTAACTGGTGGGTGTCAGGTCCCGCCTCTCAGCAAGGAAAAGCTGACTGATACATAACCCTCCACACAAGCCCTCAAAAACAAAGCTGCACTTTTCTCAAAATGATTTTAGCCAAACACAGTGGCATGCACCCACAGTTCTAGTGTTTAAGAGGCTGAGGCAGGAGGATCACTTGAAACCAGGAGGAGTTCAAGACCAGAATGGGTGACACAGTTGAGATCCTGTTTCAAAAACACCAACAGTACATATTTTAATCTAAGCAAGGAAGGAAGTATCTACCAGGCCTTATAATCCAGAAGATACAAGAAAGAAACTTCCAAATGTAAAATATTTTGTAATCATCAAAATAAAATGAGGTATTGTGTTAAAGGTGCACTAAAGTATATTTTACATATCAGCACAAACCATCCTGTCCTCTCATCTTGAGCAATTTTCACTATTATAAAAGAGTTAGGGCTGGAGATTTAGCTCAGTGGTTCCATCGCCTGCCTTGCAAGTGCAAGGACCTGAGTTCAATGCCCAATACCAAAAAAAAAAAATTCTAGAGCCAGGCATAGTGGCCAGGCCTATAATCCCAGCACTCTGGGAGGCTGAGGAAGGAGAATCATAAGTTTGAATCCAGCCTTCTGAGCATCACAGAAATTTAGGAAGAGCATCTTTCAAAATAAAAAAAAAAAAATTAAAAACTTTTTTAACAGGAGGGCTTGGGATTTAGTTCAGTGCAAAAGCCTTGGGTTCAATTACTCATACTACCAAAAAAAAAAAGAATTGTAAGAAGTCAGAGCCCTCCCAGCCCAGCATGAATGATCCAGTTGCATCTTCACAAAGTCCACTCCAGGACTGCCCTGAACACTGATAAAATCAATTCCTCCTGAGCAGTTGGGTGATTATTTTAAGTAAATTTATTCCTCCTAGGCCACCCAGATAAGTCACTATTGTGCTGCTACAAAACCACCCTTTCACTGTTCACCCTGGCCCCTGGCACACTACTGAAATACTGCTTTTATTCTCCACTATAGACATAATGAAGCCTTAAGGGTTTGGGGATTAAAGACTCTAGTGATAATGGATCCTGCTCCCTTCGAAAGGCCAGAATAATGCCACCCCCAAAATCGCTAGGTTTCAGTTCTCCAGGAGCCAGCGAGAAGTCACGACAATCATTCAGGTCCCCAAGACCCACTGGGACGGCGAACCCAAGGATGGGACATTTCTGTGCTCACAAAGAGACGCCCACATCAGATTACACGCAGACGTTCTCAAAGTGTCGGGGAAAGAGTTCCCGGCCCCCGCAGTATAAGAGCAAGTGAGAACAAAAGCCAAACCAGGAGTAATCCAGGGCAGAGAAAGCTGAGTCGGGCTGGACCAGCGACTCACGTGCTCTCACGCTCATAGTGACGCCCGGTGTCACATCAGAGGACAGAGAACCACAGCTGATGCTGATATCTGTGTCCTCATGCGGCCCAGACTCTGCAGCAGGAGCCCCTGTCCCTATGCCACCGAGGGTGGGTGTAGCTGAGGTAAGTGCCCACCAGGCCCATGTGAGGCCCTGGTTACCGAAAGAGAAAGAAACGTTGGTAACCTGTGAGGAACAGTGTCACAGGCCGCCTTCGGCCTCTGCCCTCTCCTTCCCCAAGAAGAAGGGCCCTAAGCTGAGCTGCCATCCCAGCCCAGATGCGACAGGGAAGCAGACAGATCCACAGCCAACGGTCCCAGAACCAGGCCGGCCACTCCAGACCTGACTGGGCCATCCAAGGCAGAGAGGCTCAGGACAGGGTCCAGGGCAGAGCCCGACCAGTTCTTGGTCTCTGTGCGATGCCATGGAAACGCTCACGTTCCCAGACCGTTCAGACGCAGATGCAGATTCGTCCCTGAGGGGAGGGATGCGCCCGTCACCTTCACTCGCAGGCCTTGGTTCACTCAGGCTCGTGGCAAGGGAAAGCAGGCGGCCTCCGATCTGAACAGTGTCCCTGAAGCTGGGACATGGGAAAGAACTCTGTCCAGATGCAGAAGAAGGGAGCGAAAAGGAAAAGAAACTCTTTTCCGCCACACCCTTGGGGTACCAAGAGCTGCCCTGAGAGCCTACCTCTATTTTTCCTGGTCACGGACAACACTCTGTGCTACAAACCCTAACTAAATTTGGGTGTCATAAAACAGGAAACTCCAACTGCCACCCTGCCTGCCTAGGCGAGGACTGTGTAAAGTCGGCCCTCGCAGTGGGTCACACAGCCAGAGCAGCTGGTCAGGCCAGCCAGGTAAAAGCCTCTAGCCTGTGGCCGTGGCTGTCCCAGCTCAGCGTCCTTGGGAGTGACACATGATGTCCCAAGCTCAGCTTCCTTACAAAGGATAACTAAACCTCAGTATCAGGCAGTTCCATTGGCCTGCAACTGAAGCACTAAATCCAAGTGAAGTAGAAAGAGGTTGGGAAGCCAGGCACGGTGGAGCACACCTATAATCCCAGGACGTGGTGCTGAGCCCTGGGCTCCACAGTGAGTTCAAGGCCCAACTACACCTACATAGTAAGACCCTGTCTCAAAAAATCCATCAACAGCCAGGCATGGTGGCGCATGGCTGTAATCCCAGCACTTGGGAGTCTGAGGCAGGAGGATCGTCTAAGTTCGAGACCAGCATGGGCTACGGTGAGTTCCAGAGCAGTGTGAACTACATAGTGAGACCCTGTCTCAAAACACACACAAAAAAACAAAAAAATCAACAATAAGTGATAAGGGGGGCAGAGGACACAGTCACCTCAGTTCTACTGCAGCCCAAGAGGGGCGCAATTCGGTGCCGGGAGCACAGCAAAGCAGGCCCAGCAAGAAGATAGCTCAGAACCTTTTATCCTCACAAATGCTAGGTCAGCAGGTAGTGTTACTGCCTGCTTCTCAGGAGGAAACTGAGGCCTAGAAAATGAAGTCTAGGGCCAGGGATTTAGCTCAGTGGTTCTGCCGTTTGCCTCACAAGAGCAAGGTCCCAAGTTCGATCCCTGGTACCAAAAAGAGAAAATTAAGTCTAACAGCTGTTGAGGAGGCAGACCCCACGCTTCAAAGACACACACGCGCGCTAACCCATGAACTCACAGGAAGTAAATTAGAAAGTGGGGCGGCTCTAAAAACCTACTCTGCAGAAAACATCAACCTTAACTTTTTTCTTAATATTTTATATCTAAGTGAGGAAGGAAGCAGCTCCACCTCTTATAATCCAGAAGATACAAGAGCAAAATCACTAAAAATAAAATATTTCATAATCACCAAGATATTTGACGTGTGTTGTTAAAGATACATCAAGTTCTGGTTTTGTATATTGGCACAAATCGCCCCATCTTCCTTTCTTGAAATTATTAAAAAAAAATTTAAACCAGGCATGGTGGCACATGCCTATAATCCCAGCACTCTGGGAGGCTGAGGCAGGAGGATCACAAATTCAAGCCCAACCTAGGCAAACAGTAATTCATGCAATGCCATTCACTGAGCAATTTTAACCTTAAACAAGAACATTATAAAAACAAATACCCTTTAGAAGGAGCAATAATCTCTCAAGACTGGAGTTCTCCATCATGCCCTGACTACCACACTTGGGAGGGGTTTTCCTCTCCAGGACCTCCGCCACCAGGGGCTGGTGTGTACCTCAGTGATGGGCACTGAACTAGCATGTGCTGGGCCCTAGGCTCCATTCCCAGCACTGCCAAAGAAAGAAAAAAGAAAAGAGAAAGAGAAACATGTTCTCATTCTCAAAAACAACAACAAAAAATGAGAATGTCAAGCTGTTGTCTGAGGAAACCACTAAACCCAAGAGCCTCGAAGGTGCACGTGGTTTTAATTCATTGTGGTGGACAAAGCACACAGAGAGAAGCACTTACATCGACTCCTTTAAAAAAACATTTCTGACTTACGCTTTTCGTCATCAGCATGCACCAGAGATGCAGCCCTGGACAAGACATCCAATGGCGTCTCCATTCCTGACTGAGCCTGAAAGGAAAAAGGAGAAGTGGAGGAAAATGTAAACAGAATTCCAAAGACATTTTTGGCATTTCAGTAGTTACCAGGAGGGGGGAGCCCGGAGCACAGGCGCTGGAGGGCAGGTTCCAGCCCCAGCACAGGCACAGGCGCGGCAGGAATCCGAGGCAGCAGGAGGGGCGCGGCTCTGCACAGAGAGGTTCAGTTCCACTCCATCCTGTCAGTGCAGCTGGACTCTGCCAAAGCCAGGAAGCCTCCCTCTGTCAGAATTGCGAGGACGGACCCTGAACACCCGGGCACGTGGAGCCCATCAACACACAGCCCACACACACAAAACCCATACGCTGCAGTCCTCGGGACAAAGGCTCACCAGGACCGCAGACAGTGCTGCCATCAGCCTGGGGTTCCTGCCCCGGGGGGGGGGGGGGGGTTGGACTATTCATTTTCACAGCAAGGACGTCCCTGGCTGAGAAGTCACCAGGAGCAGGACAGAGGCCTTCAGAGCCAGCAGGGTGCTCCAGGTAAGTTGGGGGTTAGGGGGGGCACTGCTGACACAAAACAGTCTTTAAGTCTGGTAGAAAATCTATTTATTTTTTAGTTTTGGGTTTTTGGAGATACAGTCTTGCTAGGTAGTTCAGGCGGGTCTTGAGCCCAGGTTGGGCTCAACTGGGTGATCCTCCTGTCTCAGCCTCCTGATTTCTGGAATTACAGGTGCAAAGTACCACACCCTACTGAAATTATCTTAAATATTATCCTCTATAGTGCACCACCCTATCACCACTCCTAGCACCTGTTTCTTTGTTGATGCCCAGCAAACACTCCCAGTGAACTACACCACCATGCCCGCCCACAGTGCCACGTTTTAAAGCAGACCAGATGCATATTTTGAACTCTGTTCCCTCTGATTATAGCACACCTAGAAAAGCAAAGCCGCTAAAGAATCAAAGGTCGATGAGACTGAGAAACCTAGCCTGCTTTTTCTGGGCTACTGGAATCACACACATAGCGACCAGGGACACCCGCAGCCCAGCAGCAGTGAGGGGACAGCGTCTTCACCTGCAGCCCTCATTCCGAGTTCTCCAGCACTCACAGATGGCTTTCCTGCATATCCACACTGCAGCCTCACAACCTGACCACATCCAGTCTACACTGCACGCCCAGCAATGCCCAGTGGCTGCCCTCACTGCCTTCAGTCTGCACAGTAGATGCATCCGCAGGAACTGAGTTCAAGGCAGAGCTTTTCAAAGCACTTTGAAGGACATTTCTAATTTATAAGAAAAGCATTTTGCTATGGTGAAAAAATCTGGGGGGCCAGGTGTGGTGGCACACACCTAACTCTAACCTGTAATCTTAGCTCAGGAGGCTGAGGCAGGAGGATCACAAGTTTAAGCCCAGCCTAGTCAACTCAGTGATTCAGCAAGAACTTGTCTCAAAATAAAAATTTTTTAAAAATATGAACAGGAGTGGGCTCAGTGCAAATCATCTCTGCAAAATAGGAACTACCACGCCCTCAGAACAAAGATTTGAGAACTTGTTTAAAAGTAAAGAAAACAAAAAACTGGGTGTTTCCGGCACCTGCCTGGCAAGCTCAAGGGCCAGAATTTGATCCCCGAAAAAACAGTTTGGGATCAACTGACAGGAAAAGGTCTCCTCACCCAGCCAGTTTCTTTTTCAGGCAAGTTCTGTGTTCAAAGTCTGGTGTGTCTACACAAGAACTGCTGATAGCACTCTACTCCAAGACACAGGATCAAAACCACAGTGCTTTGCTGCTTTCCGCACTCCAAGCCAAATCCATGTGATCAGCACTTGCTCCAAGTTAGGCAAATTAAGCAAAAAATCAGCAAAGACACAAAGCAGCAGACCCAGCATTCCCACATAGATCAGATGTTATGCAGAGAGGGTGAGACCTCAAACCCCACCCCTGAGAGTAGGGGGAGAAGAGATCCAGTGTTTAAGGTCCTCAACAAGGCACCTGCCACCCACTGCAGTGAAGCCAACCAGGAACCAGGTTGTGACTATAGCAGGATACCTGGAGAGGTCAGAGAGAACCCGACGATGTGATGCCCCAGGACAAGGGTGTGTGACAATGTCATTGGAGAAAGTGAAGTACAAGGGAGAGGCGAGGGTGACAGGGACTGGGGTGCAGCTCAGAGAAAAGCACTTGCTCAGCATGCAGCCCTGGGTTCCATCCAAGCACCAAATAAACACACAGAAGAGAGAGAGAATAAGAACATACAAAATAAAACTTGGAACTGAAATGCGTATTTTATGGCAAAAGATCAACATCAGCTCAGGTGCTGACCTTGTCAACACCTACTTTTTGTCCATCTGGCTGTGTGTCCCCAATGCCACTTCTGAGGGGTCCTTCCCCAGCTCCTGCCCTCATCCCAGGACAGCCATGCAGGGCCACTGTGAGGCCTGTGAGCTGGAGTTCGAGCAGGCAGCACAGTAGGACTTGGAAAGGAGCCCACTGGGTGGCTGGGTGACCCTAAGCGGCGGGGGTGTGGTGCTGATGCCACTTCCGTGGAGAAGTTCTGTGCAGGCCAGGCAGCAAGGTCTGACCTGAAGGTGTGAAGTGAGCAGATCCGGGAGCCGTGCAGGAACCAGGGTTGAGATAAGGACACGGAGGCACAGGGTACAATAATACAGGTGGCAGGTAAGGGCCAGGGACCAGCGTTATCTGGCCACAGAAGAACTAAACAAACAGATGGAGATAATAGTAATAAAGTCTTGTGAAGTCTGCATGTCAGGCAATATCCGCACCCCAACAGGCCTGGTAAAACACACTGATGGCATGGGGGGCACGGCCACAGCACTTGGGGGGCGGGGCGCAGAGGGTTACAGTGCCACACTGAGACGCAAACAGGCACCTGGTTTCCTGGCCAGGTCACTCCAAGCCCCAGGACCCCAGGAAGGGGAGTCTCTGCTCTCCTTTCCTTCCTCTGAAACTGAGGGTGTGTCACTGGCTACTTCATCCTGCCCAAGGTGCTCTGAGGCTTTCTAGGTATGACAATTGAGCAATCACTCAATCACAACTAACAGTAAATGTGTACAGGAGTGGCTCACTGGTGCAGCACCTGCTTAGCATGTCGGAGGCCACGGGCCCCTCCCCAGGGCTGCATAAAGCACAAATAAATCCAATGAAACAATTTCCTATATTGAAGAAAAAAAGAGCAGTGACCACACTTTCAGCAGGGTGGCCTGGGATGATTTCCCTGAAGAGAGGCAGAGAAGAGAGATTGAAGAGGGGGCTCTTCAGGGTGGGGTTTCACAGCAGGGGGTTTCAGACCTGGCCAATTTCCCCCTTTATCAGCCACAAATTATCCCCAACTGTTTGCAAAAGATTACAGAGCGCCTGCACAGCCCAGGGAAGCCCATCCCAGGAACTCTTCCTATTTGCATAGCAGATCTCACTCACATGGTGAAGACCTGTGACGACCCAAAGCAGAGCCACCTGGCAATCAGGCCCTGCGATCTGAGGACAGCTCTGCGGTGGGGGACAGGGACCAGCTTCTGGAAGCCACAGAGTGTGCAGGTGAACAGGCTGCCTTCTCCACACCTGCTGTTAGGAACATAAATGGCAGGGAATGGGACAACAGTTTTGTTGTGTGGGGCTTGTTTTCAGCAATGTCCAAATATTTGCTCAGCCAGCCCACGTTCCTTTCCTGTAACGTCTCCCCTCCAATACTGTATTTTTCCAAATTGCTTAAAAGGCTGAGAAGGAGGGAAGGAAAGGTCACCAATGATAAAGTTAGGAAAAGGTGGTGGTGTTCAGGGCTAACACCGAGTCTGGCTGTAAACGCGGAAGCTGCTGCTCTGGCCTCCCACAGAGAGCTGCCCCCTCCTGGCCAGCAAGGGGATGACATCCGCGGTCGTGGGAAGTGGACTCATCATCGCTTTTTTCAAGCCAGAGAGCAGAATTCCAGAATTCATCTCGGAAGTTTCCCAGGAGGCTCCCAAGATGAAAGTGACAGCCCCAGGCGGCCTCAGTCCCTGTCCCCACGGCAGTGCTGTGTCACCCCAGAGAGGACGAGGACACAGAGCAACCACCTCTGGCTCCAGCAGACGCCCCTGTGGGGGAGGGGGGCCACGCTGTCACTGCTTCCTGTCCCTGCTACACAGTCCCAGGCCCCACGTCAGGATCTGGGAGGTAGCACCCCCGCCTGCTCCTGCAGGCCCTGCTCCCTCTCCATTCTGAACTCCATCCCCATGGGAACCCTCTAGGGCCACCACCTCACCTTGGCTCCTGGTACACGGGACAGGACAAACCAGAATGAACCACCACGCCATGGAGGTGGGTGGGTGGCCTCTTTGGCTGTCAAAAATTTAGAGGCATTCGTGTGGGTGGACACCTGCGATCCCAGCACTGTGGAAGGCTGAGGCAGGAGGATTACAAGTTCAAGCTCAGCCTGGGTAGCTTAACAACCTAGTGAGACCCTGTCTAAAAAAAAAAGAGCATCGCGGATGTAGCTTAGTGTGAAGGTCCTGGGTTCGATCTCCAGTATTGGGGAAAAAATAAAGAGCATAGATAAAGAACACAGAGGCACTCAGTCTGTCTCCTATTTCTGTAGAACATGACAAGTGGACATCACAGAGAGGAAAGGGAAGCTCTGCCCGGGAGCAACCTGAGCCCAATAGGGGTCACAGCCAGAGGTCACAAAGAATAAAAACCAGACTCAAATTCACCGGCATCTGGCAGACAGACCAAAAAGGGTTCCACTGCTGTGGCGCCCTCCCCGCTGTCTCCTCCCACCCTCACTGCAGCCAAGAGCAAGGGGCAGGTGAGAGAGCACGGTCCTCCTTCACACGGCCCACACCAGCTTGCAGGTTAAATGACAACATGACTGAACTGCTACAAAGTGAGCGGCAGAGTCTGCCACTCTGCCACGGCCACTGTCACATGCCCATGTGGCACATACTTTTTCAAAACCCACGTGAATGACTGGATTCTCACTGCCAAACTGAATCAGACCACACAGTCGAAGACGATCTTCTTCTACAGGGGAAAAACC